GGTCTTCTTTTCTTTTCCTGTCTGCCACTCTCTTTCTCTTGATTCATGCATTTAGTCCATTCACATTGAGTGCAATTAGTGATAGGTATGCATTGATTGCTGTCATTCTGTTTTTTTGGGTTTTTTTGTTTGTTTTTTTTGTCTTGCTATTAGAGTTTCCTTGGTCCATATACTTTTCTGTGCTGAGTTCATTTTGTTGTCAAGTGTTTCCTCCCTTTTCTTCTTTGTTGTTGATTTTGTGTTTGCTAAACCCATGGGTTTTCTTCCTTCTGGCTTTGCTTAGAGGGATTGTTAATTTTCTCTGTGGTTACCTTGGAGTGAATTCTTGTCTCTATATTTTTGGAACAGTCTTTCTGTGAGGACATTGTCCTGTTTTCCTCTCCATTTGGAAGTTTTCTACCTAGAACTTTTATTCCCTCTATTTGGTTAGTTGTTGTTGTCATGTGCAGATTGACTTCCTTGTTTTTTAGTGTACAATGTTTTATGGTCCATTTTTAGTGTTTATTTCTGATTTGGTTTTAGTGTTGATGTCATGTGAACTGATTTTGTTGTTCTCTCTTGTGAGTTCGCTATTGGAAGGACTTTCATAAGCATTTCTTGTAGGGTTGGTCTGGTTTTCACAAAATCCCTTAATTTCTGTTTGTCTGAGAATGTCTTCATTTCATTTCCCTCATATTTGATGGACAATTTGGCTGTATATAGGATTCTTGGTTAGAAATTATTTTCCTTCAGTGTTTTATATATGCCATCCCATTTCCTTCTTGCCTGCATGGTTTCTGCTGAATAATCAGACCTTAGCCTAACTGTTTGATCATTATAAGTAATATTTCTTTTGTCCCAGGCAGCTTGGAAGATTCTTTCTTTCTTTTTTTGGTTTTGGGGAGTTTGATTATGATATGCCTTGGTGTTTTTCTCTTGGGATCTATCCTGTATGGGGTTCTTTGAGCTTCTTGGACAAATATCTTTTCTTCTTTCATGACATTGGGCAACTTTTCTGTTAGTAAGTCTTCCACAAGTTCCTCTCTCTCTCTCTCTCTCTCTTTCTCTTTTGTCTCTTCTTGTTCTGGAATTCCAATGAGTCTTATGTTGTTTCTTTTCATGTCATCCAATATAACTCTTAGGTTCTCTTCATCTCTCTTAAATCTTTGTTCTGATTTTTCTTCAGATAGGCTGTTGTCAGGGAATTTATCTTCTAGCTTGGAAATGCTTTCTTCAGCAAGTTCTAATTTATTCTTTTGGGCTTCCACTGTGTTGTGTAATTCTGTAATTTGGTATGCATCCTCTGGATTTCTAACTGCCATTTTTGCATGAGTTCTGATTGTGTATTATTCTTGTTATTTTGTTCTTGAATGGTTTTCCTGGGTTCTTCCAGGGAACTGTCTGTGTTCTCCATGATTCTGTTTGGGGTTGCCTTAAGCTCTTGTGGAGTTCTATAAACATAACTTGTAAATTCCTTCTCAGATAATTCTATTGCCTCCACTTCCTCTGTGCTTAATAAAATTTTTGTTTGGGGCTTTATTTCTATTGTCTTATCCCATTTTTGTGTGTTTGATTTGAGGTTGCCTGTTGTTTCCTAGACATTTTGAAGTTGTCTTTAACTGTTATTTAAGCAATTACTTTGTTTTGTCTTGATTTTATGATTTGATATTTTTGCAAAAATGAAGCTGGTGTGTTTTATTTATTTATTTTTTGGTTATAAATTCAAGTGTGTTGGTTTGCTCTGCAGTTTTCTTTGTGATGATGGAATCACTGTGTGGAATATGGATGCAGGTCTCTGTTCTTCATGAAGAGGGTTTAAGATTTGAGCTGGCAGGTGTTGTGGTGGCTTAATGCAGTTTTTCTATTGGATGAGGCAGGGGAGAGAGGAAAGGAGGAAGAAAAGACAGAAAGAAAAAAAAAAAAGCTCCAAGGTGCCAGTAGTCATTTCCAGGGCTTTGAGTAGGCTGTTATTGATGAAGTTACAATGTTACTCACAGTCCTGCGGCTCAAGTTCGGCAAAGACCCCAATGGTTAGGGGGCTGCCACTTTCTGCCAGGTTCAGATGGTCACAAAAAAAAACCATACTCCAGGTCCCTCTGTGCCAAAAAGCTGTCCTGGAATAGCTACCCTGATCCATGTCATGTGTTTGTCTAAGGACCCATCCACTGTGGCATGCTTCCATCTCTGCTCCCAATTCAGTGGCACCCAGAGCCAGAGGGGTCTCTGCTCCCTCCCAGTGTTCCCACGCTTATGCTTACCTATAAAAATGGGTGCTTAAGGTAGATCTGTGGAGTAGGCACAGGTCTTCTGGTGCATTCTCTCCACTGCCCCAAGGAGCCCTCCAATGCCCAATCTTGCTGTCTGGTCAGCACTCTGCAGGGCAAGTTTGCCTATTTTTATTCTTTCTGGGTAATTACACTGTCTCTCCCTCCTCGCTAATCCTACTCCCCTGAGTTTGGCATACTCTGACTTAATGAGCTGTTCAGAGCACCAGAATCCCTACTTCAAACTGCTGCACCTAGTTTTTCAAGCACTAAGATGCTAGAGGGAACTAACATGTGGGCTACAGGTGAGATGCCATCTTCCTGTCCTATTATATTTAATTGGTAATTTTACATTAGTGTGATTTGTGCAGTCCTTTTTTTTTTTTTTTTTTTTTTGCTTTGCTTTATTTTGTTTTGATATACCTGAGTGAGAAGAGAGAAATACAAAAACAATAGCAATGAAGGAAATGATTAAAATATTCATGAACAAAATGAGCTGAGCACAGAAAATTATGTGGAACAAAGAAATCAGCAAAACCACAAGGAAATACCTAACAAAATGACAGAATAAATTTGCACTTATTGATAATTACACTGAATGTCCTATTCTGTTCACTATTTTGGCAGGACTTAGACACCACTTGCCTCCTGGTGGTTGTGATAGAGAATGATAATATGTGCACAGATCTCTGTTAGGTGTTTGTGTAGAGCAGTTGAGGATGAGTTGAGCTGATATTGGCTGTGGTCATGGCCCCTACTCTGAGAAGAAGTTCCTGCTGTCCCAAAAGGGGTCTTGATGTAGGGTGCTTAATCCCAGCACAAGTTCCTGCCAGCCTAAAAGCTGCAGGGAGCAGGGTGGCTGATCTCAGAACTAGTTCCTATCTACCTAGAAGGCAACTAAGAACAGAGTAACTGATCTCAGATGAATTCCTATTGGTCCAGAAGGTGTCTGGAGGCAGGGCTCCTGGACCCAGAAAAGTTCCTGCCAGTCCAAAAGATGATTGGGAGCAAGGATCTTGGTTCCAGAGGGAGTTCCAACTGGTTCAAAAAGCAGCTGTGGGCAAGACATCTTATCCCAGATAAAATTCCTGTTGTCTCAAAAGGTAACAGGGTGCAGGATCCCTTTCCCATGGACCATAGTTTGTTGAGTCCTGTTCTAATGTGTAAATGTGGATGCATGCTAAAAGTGATTGACTTTTCCAAACCAATTTGGCCAGGATGTTTGGAAAAGTCTTTTCCAAACAGAATTACCCAGAGAAAGAGAGAGAGAGAGAGAGAGACCACATATACATGTACAAAAGGATTATCACCTCACTTGTCTGTCATAAACAAGTTTTATAACAATATGATTTGGGCATAATGCAGTTTTAAGTATTTCTGTGAACTTAACTTTATTTCTTTATCAGTAACTCTTCAAGAAAGAGAGAGAGAGAGAGAGAGAGAGAGAGAGAAAGAGAGAGAGAGATTGTCAAGAACTCTAAAGAGACTGAGGTTTTACCTTACTTGAAAGCTAGTAAATTCATCTGTTAGTCTGTCACAGTTTTCTGGATTCTGGAAGAAGAGACACAACTCCTGAGTCAAGACAAAGGACTTTCTTACTCACACTAGCACCAGAGTATCAGCATTATCTTGTGCCAGTGACCCTAAGCCCAGTTCTCATAAAGAGAAGCAAGGAGAGCTAGGTGAAATCTGTACAGGAGAAAACATCTGATTGTAGGGAACCTTAACCTTTGGGTTTAATGGATAGTAAGCTCATGTGCTCTTTTCCTCCAAAGAAAGACATTATCTTTGTTACACTGGACAGTGAACAAACCTTCCTTTTAGTCTGGAGGGAGACATTTCCTCTGTCTCCCAAGGCTTTTAGTCATACAAATATTCTTAAAAAGACAGTCCAAAAGAAAAGCAAGACATGGAAAAACACAAGAAGCCCATGGAGAATTGTCTCTTAGAAACAATGATAACATCTAACACAGTTATACTCAGTGTTTTCTTAATGAATGATTCCAGATGAATCTATAATAGGATTTACAAATATTGTCAAAGAAGTGTTTCCTCATCAACATTGTTAATTAGCTCACTCATAAACTGCATCTTCCTTGTCTTTTTTGCTGCCATTCTTCCACACACATCTACATAAGCCATGACTAATTATTTATACTTTCTGAAACTTGATATGATCATTTACCCTTTGTGATTTTGAGCATGATATGCCATCTACCTGAAATCTTTTCTTTTGTATGCCTGAAATTCTCCTACATATTCTCTAGAAGCCATGTCAATGCACTTGCAATGACCAAACCTAAACCTACTGCCATCAAGTGGATTCTGATTAATAGTGACCCTATAGGATAAAGTAAAGCCTCAACGGTTTCTGAAGTTGTAAATCTTTATGGAAGAATATTGCCTCATATTTCTCCCATAGAGAACTTCCTGGTTGGTTTGAACTTCTGACCTTCTGATTAACAGTGGAAAGCTTTAACCACTGTACCACCAGAGGTCCTATACTTCCTATATTCATTTAAAAAAACAATAAAATAAAATGAACAGAGGTGACATACTAACTTCCTCTGTAACAGGAAATAGTCTGAAGGGAAACTGAAAATTCAGTAGAGTTAAGACATTAGCACTTATCAAATTGGGATAAGTAATCATCTTTCTTTCTTGCTAGGGATAGGGATGCCTGGCATGTATTTTATGCTGGTAAGAGGAATAGAGGGATGGATAAATTAGAAAATGACTTAATTTTACTGTTTTTAGGTCCAAGATTATGCAAATGTCATTCAATGGATGAGTCCAAAATTATTTTTTGGTTTATTTACACCAATGATCATCTTTAATGTTGCATTTGACATGGAGGTATACATGCTTCAAAAGTTAACTTGGCAGGTAAGAAGTATTCTTTTTTCAATAATATCATTTATTCATGTTATTTATGTTCAGACTTTTTATTTTTTGCTGCAAAATTGAAAGAAAAATGGAGGAAAAGTATAGGGTACGGGAGTAGTAAATTCAGCTTTATTTTTTTAGAGAGTAACCAATATCTTGGCAATTTTTTCCTTGAAGACCCAGGTGTTTATTTACTTAGTGCTACTCTTACAGGAATATACCACAAATAGGATGGCTTTAACAAACAGGAGTTTATTCTCTTATAGTTTGGGAGGCTAGAAGTCCAAGTTCAAAGTGCCAGTCTCTAGACTGGGTGAAAGCCTCTTGACCTTGGGCTTCAGCTCTGCCTCTTGCTTCCGGCCCACTGAAGCTGGAAGCTTTCTTTACTCAAGCAGCTGCTGGCTGCAGAGGCTGACAAACTGAACTCACTGCCATTGAATACAACCCAACTCATAGTGGCCCCTCTTTGGGTTTCCGAGGTGATAACTCTACGGAAGTAGATTGTTCAACCTCCCTTCCAAGAAGTTGCTGGTAGGTTTGAACCACCAGCCTTCTGGTTAGCAGTCAAGTGCCTTAGGCACTACGCCACCAGAGCTCCCAAGTAAAAAGGCACAGTCCTGATGTTAGCAAACCACATGGCAGGTGATTAATTCAAGTCCATTAATAATCTCAAGATCAGCAGACAACATGGCAGGCTGCTGAACAACAACTTGGCTACATGTAGGATTCAAGTGTGCCAAAATCTAGAGATTTTCCTCAAAGTTGCTTCTTATATACTGGAAGCAGACCACATCCCTAAAGCAGTTTTTCAGCTGCTCCAATAGATTCCACCAAGGAGTTGATTGATTACCAGTCTCACCGTTGTTGTTGTTGTTATGTGCTGTCCAGTCAGACCCAATTCACACTACCCCTCCTTGGGTTTCTGAGACAGTATCACTACAGAAGTAGATTGCCCAACCTTCCTTCCAAGGAGTGGCTGGTGGGTTTGAACTGCCAGCCTTTTGGTTAGCAGTCAAGTGACTTAGGCACTATGCTATCAGAGCTCCTAATCTCACCATGAGGAATAACTATATCCAACTGCTCAGCCACTCAAAACCAGGCCCAGTTGACACCCGACCTTCACTACCACACTGGGGGTGGGGGGGAATGTTGAGGAAAAAAGTAATTCTGAAACTCTGATTGGTGTGACATAATGACAGTTTTACTTATAATCTGAGATTCCACTAGAGATCTACTATGAAGTGTACTAGGTCCAATAAAAGGAAACTTTTGAGTAAAGTTATTTTTTAAATATCCATCTTCTGAAGCTTAACACACCCACATGTAAAAAAAAAAAAGAAAAGAAAACAGAGAAGAGAATTCAAATAAACAGCTAAAACCCTAATTTACTAACTTTAGAATTTTTCAATCATGTGAGATTTGGACAAGCTGAAGGAGACGCAGAAAAAATACTCTTGCTTCTAAGCAGGGTACCCATTTCTATCAAAGTAATCAAAACAATTCTGTGAATATAAGGCCTTTACCTAAACTGCATCAGTGTTGGTAGGTGCTGTTGAGTCATTTTGACTCAGGGATCCAGTGTGACAGATAAGAACTTCCCTATAAGGTTGTCCTGGCTATAATCTTTATGGGAATAAGATGGCTACGTCTTGCTCCTGCAGAGCCACTAGGTAAATTCAATTAGCAGCCAAGCACTTAGCCATTGCACACAATCATAAACTGATTTTGTACTTTAAACAGAGTCCAGGCTCTTGGTTGTTGTTGTTAAGTGCTGTCGAGTCATTTCCAATTCATAGCGACCCCATGCACAGTGGAACAAAACACCACCCAATCCCGCACCAGCTCCATGATCCTTGCTATACTTGAGCCCATTGTTGCAGCCACCATGTCAATCCATCTCGTCGAAGGCCTTCCCTTCTTTTGTCGACGCTCCACCTTACCAAGCACAACATCCTTCTCCAGGGAATGGTCCCCTCTGACAACATGACCAAAGTAGGTGAGACGAACTCTGGCCATTCTCGCTTCCAAGGAGCATTCCGGCTGCACTTTCTGATTATTAATGGATGTTTGCCTCTGTTTCTCCTCAATTTGAGTGGTTCCACATCAGCCAATGGAGGTCTCAAAAGCTTTACCTTATCCATCATTTGCCCAGTCCTACTTTGAGAGCTTTCTAAGCTAAGTGACTCATCTTCCTCCTCTGTATTGGACAATGTTTCTGGACTATTCATAAAGTTGTGCAGTAATTAATTATCAGACATTGTTTTTCTGCTATTCATAAGGTTTTTCCTGGCCAATTCTTTGAGAAGTGGATGGCCTCTTCCTTCTTCCTAGTCTGTCTCAGTCTGCAAGCCAGGCTGACACCTGTGCATGATGTGTACCCCACTGGGTTTGAAACACCAGTGGAACAGCCTCAAGACTCACAGCAACATGTCACCACAGTAGGACAAACCAACAGACAAGTTTGTTTCCCTTAGCAGTTGGAAACCTCTCCAACCACCCTTACCTGGATCCCTGCAGTTCACGTTTATCTCACAATGCCTTGATGAGCAGCTGATGAGCAGGCTCTTGGAGTTCAGACAAATCACAAATGGATGAGATTAAGAAAAGAGAGATATAAAAGTGATCTTGGCTGACTCAGATGGTCTCTAGAGAGGCCATCACCTGCATCTCTGCTCACCTGATGGATCAGTTGGCAGTGGAGTGATGGAGTTGGCTACACTCCAGTGTCTGCCAGTTGGTACTGTTAGTGCTGGCTATTGGTTGGGGCAAAGGGGGTTGCTAGGACACACATACCCCATCACCTAGCAGGCTATTCCAAGCTTTTTTCACGTGGAAGTTGCAGATTCCCATACAGCAGCAGGAGAGGGTAAGACTCAATTCATCAGTGCTTTTTTTTTTTTTTTTTGTCTCTACTTGCATCATGTTTAGTTATTATTGTTCCTTTTGTCCAAAGTGAATCATATGATAAATCACTGTGGTGAGGGTATGCTCAGTGGTGCACATACAGAGAGCAGAACTATGAAAGCCACTTTTGCAAGCAAAATACTGAGTTATTTGTTGGAAGTATGAGGATTTGGCCTCTTGACTCTCAGTCCTCTTGTCTGAAAACCTCATGTCAATGTGTTCCTTTCCACGGGAGTTAGTAATACAACTCTTCTGACCACCAAAACTTTAAAGTGAGAACTCAGCCACACAAGAATAAATTGATCTAAGTGGCCACACTGTTTCTTTCACCATCCTGATGCTGTCTCAATCTTTGTCCACCAAAGCTTCCCTTTCAGTAGGGACAATAATCACTCAGCATTGGCAACCAGGCCTCCTGAATTAGAGTGTAGTGTTCAGACCCCACAACCACTCAGTGTGACTGTCCCATACAAAAGAAAGAGCAAATGATCAGAAAGAAGAGAGCTTTTAAATATTTTAGTTTTTCTGAATTCTTACAGGTGCCTTCAGGCACAATTCCATTTTCCAAAATCCATTTGGGAATGAAATTTTTTAAAACATCCACAATAGGTAGAAGAGTTAGTCATTGCAAGGCAATGGTGGAAAGACAGAAGGCCAGGTTTCACTTCTAGAATCTCTCTTTTCACCTTTTCTGTAGTTCTCTGACATTTTAATTTGTACTCTATTGTCTTATCTCTTTTTCCCTCTTTGTAACCTCTTTCAAAATGTTCTGTTGTCTTCTCTGTATTAACCTTTTTATTTTTTTTTTAAATTGTGATTTGGGTGAAAATTTACAGAGCAAATTCACTTTCCATGCAGCAGTTCACATAAACTTTGTCTCATGACATTGACCAAAATTTACCACAATGCAACAGCTCCCCTCCCACTTCCTCCCTATAGTTACCTCTTCCCTGTGTCCATACCTTCATGCACTCCTGCCCCTGAGCTGTCTCCCTGTGCATAAGCAGCCCTTCTTTCTCCCATGATTGTTCTCTCCAAGGAGTGTATCTACCTCAGGTAAATGTTCAACTCATATGCCTGTCTTTTGCATAGCTGGAAGCCACAGGTGTGGGTTCAATTCCAGACCTGAAGGGCAGCTAGGGGCCATAGTCTCAGTGGTTCCACCAGGCTCTATTGGACCAGCAAACCTGGTCTCACCCCCCCTTTTGTTTTCCTCTAAATGATTTTGAGTTTTTTCCGCATTGTTCTCCCTCTCTATCCAGGATCTCCTACATAGATCCCCTTCCAAGTGCTTGACATTGGTAGCTGGGCACCATCTAATTCTTCTGGTCTCATAGTCATATAGGCTGCAGATTGAATGGGGTACCAGTCACTAGGACTGATTGTATCCATGAATTTTTGGTTTTCTTCATTCTTCTTTTCTCTGAATGAAGAGAGACCCATTGTTGCATCTAGATGGCAGCTTGCTAGCTTTTAAGATCCCAGTCGCTACTCACCAAAGTAGGAGGTGGAACAATGCTTTGTGTAGTATGTTATGACAATTGAGCTTGATGTCTGCTGCTACTATGGTCCTGAGCCCACAGATTCAACTACTCAGTCCCTCTGGGTAGCTGGCTGTGACCAAGCAGTGACTACCATCTTGCCTTTTGTCAGCTCTACTATACACCTGGGAATTCAGATCATACACATAAATTTATAGGACTGTTATGTGCCAACCCTATACATGTTCTTGGGTACACTCCTCACTTCATAAACATACCTACTAGTTCAGCCTGTCCACCCATCTGTCCACTCATCTATCCACTCTCATATACCCATGTTTGCTTTCATTGACAACACAGTACTGGATGTGCAAAAAGTTTATCTTTGTTGTCTGTACCTCCCATGTATCTCTCTATGTCTTTCTCTTCCTCAATGCCACCATATTGATCACTCACATTTGGTACATTTCCCTTCTCTTCACTCAAATAAATACTTATCTCTATCTATCTAACAATGTTCCCTACCCTTCCCTCCTACCTCTGGTAACCAATAAAGAAAATTTTCTTCCATAGATGAACCTCTCCTTGACTTTTACAATAATGGGCTAATACAGTATTTGTCCTTTTGTGATTGACTTTTTTCACTCAGCATAATATCCTCCAAGTTCATCCATGTTATGCAGTGTTTTGCAGATTCTACATTATTCTTTAGCGTTGTATAGTATTCCATTGTGTGTATGTA